ACTCTGGGCAAGTCCCTTTGTCTGCTTTAGTTTCCCTATACGTAAAATGGGGATAATAATAGCACCAACTCCAGGAGAGTTGTGAAGATCAAATGAGATAATGTTTGTTAAGTGCTTAGCACAGTACCTGACATAGAGAAGGTGCTTAATAACTTTTTTTTTTTTGCTTACTTCCTTATTATTACGTTTCATTCTGGGCTATGCTCATTTAAAAACTTTTTTTCTAATTACATGTAAAAACAATTTTTAACATTTGTTCTGTAAAATTTTGAGTTCCGAATTTCTTCTCTCTCCTTCCCATCCCCCTTCATTGAGAAGACAAACAATTTGATATAGATTATACATGTGCAGTTATGCAAAACATTTCCATATTAGTCATGTTGTAAAAGAAAACACAGACAAAAAAAAAACAACCTCAAGAAAAATAAAGTTTAAAAAAAATATGCATCAATCTGCTTTGACTCTCTCAGTTATTTCTCCGGAAGTAGATAGCATTTTCATTATGAATCCTTTGGAATTGTCTTTGATCATTGTATTTCTGAGAATAGCCAAGCCATTCACAGCTGATCATAGTACAATATTGCTGTTACTGTGTACACTGTTCTACTGGTTCTGCTTACTGTGCATCAGTTCATATAAGTCTTTCCAGGTTTTTCTGAAAGCATCTTGCTTGTCATTTCTTTCTTTTTTTAAAACTATTTTCTTAATTTAATGTAAAATTTTTTAAACATTTATTTTTTAAAATTTTGAGTTCCAAATTCTTCCTCCATCCTTCTCCATCCCCTTCATTAAGAAGGCAAGTGATTGGATATAGATGTGACAATAGAAAGGATATGTGAGATGAGAATGAAAAGTCAAAGATGACGTCATAGTTGTGAGCCTGGGTAACTGGGAGGATGGTGGCGCCCTCATCAATAAGAGAAAAGTCAGGAAGAGGAAAGCGTTTAGGGGAAAGAATGAATTGTGTCTGGGATGTGTTGGACAATCTCCCTTGGTGTTTTGGACAAAGGGAGATCATGAATGAATGAATGAATGAATGAATGTAACATTTATTAAACACTTACTCCATGCAAAGCACTGTGTTAAGCCTTGGAGATAGAAATAGAAAGGTAAGACAGTCCTAACTCTCAAAGAGCTCACATTGTAATGTTGGAAAGAGACAATCTATATGGAAGGTTTCAACTGCAAGTCAGAGAGAAAGGTCCCACTGTCCTTAGGGTCCAGAGGCAAAACAAATGGTGATGCCTCTTCTTTAATGTCAGTTACACTGATAAAATTACATCATTTTCTGATGTAATTTTGCCAGGGACTTTTGGTGGCAAAAACTCTTTTCTGAGTTTTCAGTAACTGTGGCCACAGCACCTGCAGTGCCATGGCCAAGCTGCATCTACATATAGACATTACTTTACAGGATGATGGCGGTGGGCACTTGACTGGAAACATTGCTATTTCAAAGGCTGTTGGGTTCAGGTCTTGGAATGATTTCATCAGGGTTCTCAGGGAGATAGTGGTCGTGGCAGTGGTGGTTTGGCATACCTGGTACATGCTGTATCCTGTTTTTCCTCAGGGATCCCTGTGGCTTCAGCTAGGCTGGCTTGCCTGCCCTATGGGTGGCAGTTGGTGGGGGTGTCTGGTACATTCCTCGAAAGAATGGTTTCCCTGGATACTTGGGCATACTTGACAGCTATGGTGAGAGCAATATCCTAATTACCCCCCCCCCCAACATCCATGCAAGTTAAGCTGGTTTTTTGTTGTTGTTGTTGGGTTTTGTTTTCTTAAAAGACATTGAAACCATCCTTAAGACTTGATTGGCTCAGGAAAATAAAGGCTCAGGCTTTTGATTTCACTTTTTGGTTGCCCTAATACAAAACAGTGCTAGGAGCTCCAGGTGCTCTGTTGGACCATGATGGGCAACTCAGAGGCAGAGAGCTGAATCAGCAAGCCTCAAGACTCTGATGTCTACATAGTTGTCAAAATGATATTCCTAAAGCACAGAACTGACCCCTAATCAAAAAACTGTGATTTTCCCATTGCCACTAGTCTACCTAGAACATATTCCTTCCTTACTTCAACCTTTTAGACTCCCTAACTTCCATAAAACCCAAGTGCCAACGTCCTCTATAGGGTGTTTCCTAGTCACTGCCCTCCCAGCTACAAGTGTCTCCCTTTCTTTCCCTTGAAATTACTTTATTTTATGTTTACTTATATGTGCATTGGTTATTTTCCTCGATAGAAAGTAAACTCCATGAGGCTAGTAATTGTTACATATTTTCTATTTGTATCCCTGACAGTTAGTATAGTGCCTGATACATGGTAGATGGATAAAAAATGCTTTATGATTTAGCAAGTGAATGAATCCTAGACCTCCTTCATCACCTTTTTTCTTCAGTGTAATCCATAATATTCTTATCTGATTGTTTTTTTCTATATAAATTTGGTGATTTTGTCTAGTTCCATAAAGAAATCAGTCTGTATTTTGATGAATACTGAATTAAACATATACATTAATTTATGTATTGTCATTTTTACTGTATTAACCTGACCTAAGAACACTGAATGTCCTTATTTAGATCCACTTATTTAGATCCTCCTTTATTTTGTGATCCAGGACAAGTCGCTTAACATTTCAGTACTCTAGTAACCCTCTACGACTATAAATTAGAGACCCTGTTTTGGTAGAGGGAGTTTCCTCATCTGGGAATTTCCTGGTCAATGAAATCTCAGGTCAGATCTCTGTCCCCATCCTATTAATATTCTTTGTCCTTAAATGTAATTTTATATTTTTCCTAATTGTTCTTTTATTTTTCCTCATGTGTGTTTTTTAATTAGTTGAAACTCCTTTAATTCCTTCAGTATACTATTATCCAACTTAATTTATCATATGGAACTTCTCCTGTCTCATCCATAAATGTTTCAACTTTTATTTCTGGAATTATTTTATCCCTTAGGCCTTTTATGTTGGAGAATTTCTTTATTGTATTAAATTTTTTAAAATGTATCACTCAATATTTTTTGTGCAGGGATAACAAACTGGTCTGATCTCATTGTAAGCTGGAGCTGCTGGTACAGGAGTAGTATACTAGGAGGAGGGTTTTGAATAGGAGGGTGAGACAGGATAGAAGGGTCCCCTGAAGACACAGTGAAAGGGCTGACAGGATAGAGGGGTTCTTCTTCCCTTCCACAGTAACCATTATGGACAAAGCTGAAGCTTTATTTTGATGGGATTGAAATAAGGAAAGGCTTCTTGGCACCACCTGGCCCAAGGTGGATGGGGCCAAAGGAGGATGAAAGCTTCTGCCCCTGGTTGGTATAGAAGGGGCTGAAGGAGAGAGAGGTCAAGCATCAAGAAGACAGAATGAAGGAGAAGTTTTCTTCCCTAGGGATTGGTAGGGGGGAACACCAAGGGAGGAAAATGATGGGAGATATTCAGGCTTAGATGAGTACAGAGGGGTTTTGGAAGTTATGAAAGGCATATTTATAGTCATATTTGGAAGTTATGAAATTTGATTTTTTTAAAATGTGACTCCTAGCTAAGTACTCTTCTGGGAAGGGGTGGAGCTGTGGCATGAGGAATCACTGAATTGTTCTGCCCCTGGCTCTCCTAACTCAAGCCTCTGGCCTTAAGCTGTGGGGAGAGGGGAAGGGGCAGGGACAGGGCTGAGGAGCAGCCACTCTGATGCCTTACTGTAGGAACCAAGATGGCTTAAGGCAGCCTGGGGAATTCCTGATCCCCTGGGGTAAATTTATCTCCATAGTTCAGGCTTCTGGGATAGGAATCAGATTCCTGGGCTTAAAGAGAATAGTTGTCCCTGTCTGACTAGGCCTTTTTTAAAGGGCAAGGCTTCAGACAGGTGGGCCTAGGCCAGTATGTAGAGTGAGTGAGAGAAGGCCTTAATAACTCTGACCCCCCCACCCACATTGTCAGGGATGGTGGTAGGTGGGGCTCATCTAGGAATGTTCACAAGTCTAACCTAATGATAGCAGAGTGTGGGTAGGTTCCAGGATTCTAGGGCAACAGGGCAGTAATAAGGTTAGTGAGGCTTTTCAGTCAGTAGATAAAGCACCAGTTTCTCCCCTTCTCCAAATAATCTTTGAAAACATGTTTTTGATCTCTTCCTCTATTTTTTTCCTTTCTTTTTTGTGGATGGGGAGAAGTGGGATAGCATTTCCAAATCTGCGAGGGAATTCCTTACTTTTTACTACTCAGCTCTCTAGTAAGTTTCTCTTTCCTGATTATCCCCTTGTATCTTCTGCTATGGTCTTTTCTAGAAAGAAATATTATTCAAAGGAGGGAAAGGACCTCAATGAAGGTATGACTTAGGCATACCTTGTTCAGAGGTAATCTATTAGACTCTAATTAAGTTTGATCCAACAAATATTTATTAAGCTCCTACTATTTGCCGGGCACTGTAGCAAGTGCTAGGAATACAAAAACAATAAAAGAAGCAGTCCCTGTCTCTAAAGAGAGAACTTAAAATCCATTAACACATGACCCTGGTAATTACTTAATGAATCTGGATTCTGAAGGAATTCAAGTTTCCATGATTTTCAGAGTAAATCAAGCAAAAGCACAAAAAAATGAGCAGAATCAAGAGAGCATTATATATAATAATGGCAATATTCATTTAAGAACAACTTTGAATCCATTATGACTATTATAAATACCCAAATTAACTACAAAGGACATATGAAAGAAGACATTATCTGCATCCAGAGAAAGAACTGATAAGTAGAAGTATGTATAGAATGATTCTACATATATATACATATTTGTCTAATGGTAGCCATCTAGGTGGAAGAAAAAAAAGGAAAAAAAATTTACATGATAACTTTATTATATATTTAAAAGGAATAGCAAGTTGTACCTAATAGATTTTCAGTTTACTATGTTATAGAAATGCTTGTTTTATTCCATAAATTAAAAATAAAATAAATTAAAAAAATTTTAAAGCACAAAGAAATGATCCAGATAACATTTGTATTGTTATTCTCATTCCCAGATCTGGAGGTACAAAAAGAAAACTTTGGCTCAGTTGGTCGGTACAATTAAGAGCTTAGAATGTAAGTAACATCAGATAATCTACCATTATGCTTAGGATAGAGTTTGGGTATTGTGTTCAGATCTAGGGGCCTCATTTTAGGGATATTAATGAAGTGGAGGGTGTCCAGAGAAGGATAGCCAGGATGGTACAGGAAATTGAGATATAAACTTAAGCATCTCTTGAAGGAAATAATTTAACTTGGAAAAGAGAAGAATTAAGGGGGCCATGATACTAGTCCTTAGGAACTGGAAGAGCTGGCATGTGGAAGAGGCCTTGTTCTTGGTTCCAGAAGGTAGAACTAGAATCCAGGGATGGAAGTTGCAGAGAAAAAGATTGCAGAGTGATTTAAGGGAAAACTCCCTTAACTTTTAAATCTACCCAAAAATAGATAAGGCTGCCTTGGAAAGGAGTGAGTTTTCCCTCAATGTGGCAAAAACTAGAAGAGATTCTTATTAAAACAAAGGTTAGACAAAGTAGTCTTTGAGGTGGAGATAGGGAATATGCATTTATTTAGCTCCTACTATGTGCCATCCATTGTACTAAATGGATAATATTTATAAAGTATTTAGAAGCCCAGTCTGTTTTTAGATATGGAGAACATGGAGAGGGTCCACAGTGTAAATCTAAGTGCTAAAAAAACACACAAAAAGATCTCTGAAAGTTGTTAGAACTGATTATTTGGGTCTTAAATACAAGATGGTTATTATAAAAATAGTTACCAATTTTTTACCACCTGTACTGAGAACAAAACACATGAAGAGGAAATTAGCCTAAACCACAGAATGGAACATTTAAGTTGGAGAGAAGAAAGAATTTTCTTACCACAAGAATTGGGACACTTCCTTCTCTTTAGAAATATTCTTAAAGTCTAATTTTTAATTGTTTCTTCCTAGATACCAGAAGACTACACTCACAGTCAGAAAGATCTGGGTTGATAGCCAGGCTCAGGTTGTTCAAATTCTGCCTGAATTGGTGTATGATGCTGGGTAAACCACTTAATATTTCTGAGCTTCAATATTCTCATCTGTAAAATGGGAATAATAATACCATCCACCTCACTGGCTTGTTGTGAGGAACAGATGAGATAGCATATGTGAATATACTATCCTATGTGAATATCAGCTATTTTTTGTCATTATTATTTTTTTTTATCATCTGCAATGAAAATAAGGATAAACTCACATGAGCATAACCTAAAATGTGGCAGTGGGCCTAAAAGCACGTGTTCATCTTTTCTTTCTTTTTGTTCATTCTTACAAGAATCTCTCTGCAAAGAACAAAGTCAGAATATTTTACATGAAAATATTTGTTTGTGTTTCCTAGACCTAGCTTGATAAGGAGCAAGGAAGAAAAATAATAGCTAGCATTCATAGAGCTCTTTAAGTAAGTAGGGCCCATCCAATGAATATCTTTTGATCTGGGAATAAAACTTGATCACTCTAGGTCCAAACTTGTAAACTACTTGTTATGTAGACCAGATAACCTCCCCAGCTTCCTGTCAGCTTATGATTATTCTGGGAAACCTCCCATTGACTTCTTCCTCTTCACAGATGTAAGAGAGACTCAAACAAAATCAGAACCTTGTAGGAACTCTCTTTTAAGTTCCTCATCTAGCAGGATTTGATCTTCCTTAGCCTGAAGCGCTCGATGGACAGTTTCCTATGGCCATCCTATTCACAAAGAAAATAAATTAAATTTAAAAAAAAAGAATGAAACTGGAGTCTTCTGGGGCTCAAAATAGTATGGGCAGTATGGAGCACAAAGCATACACCTTTGAAAATGCTTATTAAATATGACTGGTAAAAGCATAATGGTTCTCTCTGCTTTCTTTGCAGGCCAGCATTATGCTAGACAAAGAACTACATTTTCCAAAAGACTGTACGTCTAAAAGAGAAGCAGACATGTCTTTGGATGACATGGAGATGAAAACTGATGACCTGTTAGAGAAGGAGCAGATAGACAGTGGAGGGTTTGGGATGGTATCCTTGTGTTTTCATAGAAGCCATGGCCTTGTGATCCTGAAAAACGTATACACTGGACCCAAGCGCACTGAGTAAGTTGGCATGATGAGATTCAGTGGAAAGAAAGAAAATGTGTTAGTCAAATCAGGGTTTTAAGGAATAAAGTATCATTCCATTCATGTAATTTTAGGGTTTATTGAAACATAAATAAGCAACATGCATATACTTACTCATACAACTAGGATACAAGACATATTCTGATCCACTTAGATTCCCATATTTGTCTAGCCATTGAAAATGAAACTACACATTTAACCACTCCCAGGAAGTCTCATCTATCTAGAATTCAGGGCTGGGGAACCTGTGGCCTCGAGGCCACATGTGGCAGGTTCCCCACCCCTGATCTAGATGATAGCCCATCCACTAGATGGCCCACAGCTATTAGAGGCTGTACAGTTTTATATTGGGGTGGGAAGAGGAGAGAGAGAATGGAAGGAGTGGAACAGAGAGAAGGAGAGAGACAGAGAAACAAGAGAGAGAGAGAAAGAGAAGGGGGAGAGATAGAAAGAATAGAGAGAGAAAGAGACAAAGGGAGTATGAAGAGAGAGAGAGAAAGAGAGTAGGGAGAGAGATTGAGACTGTACTAAGTGCTTACTATGTGCTGGGCAGAGAGAACTGAATGAGACATTTAGAGTCAGGATACCACAGCTACGTTTTAATGTAACAGTCAACAGGTGTTGGCAGAATTCTTTAGAGTACAGAAATGCAATCATGAATATTCCACAATTACTCTAGCTCTCTCTGTATATCCCCCATTCTTCTTTGGGTGAAGGGCCTTCTCTAACTGGCCTACATGAAAAAAGCCACAAAAATCAATCAGTGGCTGCTATGACTATCAAGGTACATATAAATACATTTTTACATCTGTGTAACACTTTGAAGATTTCAGAATGTTTTTACATATATTATCCTAGCTGACCCTCACAATAGTTCTATGAAGTAGGAAATCAGAGATGATCATTCCCATTTTATAGCTGAGGAACTAGAGACTCAGGGAAGTTGTTACAAGCCCAAGGTCACATAGCTATGAAGTAGAAGATGTGAGACTAGACTGCCCAGGTCTTTTGACTCTTTAGTACACGCCGCTTTTTTTTTTTTTTTATATCACGCTGTTTCTCATAGACAGTACCTAGGCAAGCATCTTTGTAGGATGGCTGTATTAAGAAACCTGGTAGTATAGATGGTAAGCTGACTTGTTCAGAAAAGACTGAGGATGGGAGGAATTTTTCTAATATTTCCATGTGCTGTCTTCATATGCTTTATTACACCTATCACATCCCACTATGGTGGACTTGCAGAATCTACTCAGATGTTAGGAGTAGAACTGTAAACCAAACATAATGGCTGAGCCCCTAACCAGAGTCAGGATATAGTCCTACAGTCTTGCTATCTGTGAAAGATATGTACAATGCTGTAATGTACCTGTGTTGTTGTTGAGTTGTGTCCAACTCTTCATGACCCCAGTTGGGGGTTTTTCTTGGCCAGAGTAGTCTGTCATTTCCTTCTCCAGTTCATTTTATAGATGAAGAAACTGAGTCAAACAGAGTTAAGTGACTTGCCCAGGGACACAGAGCTAGTAAATGTCTGAGGCCAGATTTGAACTCAGAAAGATGAGTCTTCCTGACTCCAAGCCCAGTACTCTATCTACTGTGCCATCTAGCTGCCCCTGTGGCACCTGTGTGTAAAGTCACTATGGCTGCCAGTAATATTGCTGGTATCAACAGAGCTATTTTCTTTGAAAATACTTCTTTTCCTTTTCTTTTTACTTTTTTTTCCCAGTAAGGTATACCCAGTATTCCTATAGTGTTTTAAATTTTTCAAAATCCTTTTGCAAACATTTGAACTTTACAACTCTGTAAATTAGGTAGTTTGTGTATAATAACTTTCCCCCCATTTTATTGATGAATAACCTAAGGCTATATAACTCTACCAAGGTCACACATACTAGAAAGTGACAGAACCAGACCTGGAATCCAAATCTCTTGAATCCAAGCCAATACTCTTTCTCGCTATACCACATTGCTTCTTGGGTTTCTCCTTTAACAGCTTCACAATCTCAAAAGACTAGCTCTTCTGAGCAAAAGTTCTTCCGTAAGAAATCTAGGTTGTTTTTTTTTTTAAGGCAATTGGGATTAAGTGACTTGCCCAGAGTCACACAGCTAGTGTCAAGTGTTTGGTCTGAGGCTGAATTTGAACTCAGGTCCTCCTGACTTCAGGGCTGGTGCTCTATCCACTATGCCACCTAGCTGCCCCCATAACAATTCTAAATGAAAGGAATTGATAATGAATATATATCAGGCCCTGACAATCTAGTCTTGATGGACTGATATCTCTTTAACATGTACACCTTAAATGGAGAATTTTTATTAGCCTTTAGGGGGATTTCTCCATCCAATCCAACAATCCATCAGTCAATCAATAAGAATTTAATAAACACCTACTATATATATACCAGGCATTGCATGAAGTTCTGGGGATACAAAGAAAAACAATCCCTGCTTTCAAGAAGCTTACATGAGGAAGATAACAGGTGCATATGTGGGTATAAGTATGTATGTATGTATGTATGTGTTTATGTATATGTATGCATATATGTGTGTATGTATGTGTGTATATATGCAAAGTATATGTGTGTGTGTATAATATATCCAAAGTAAACACAAGGTAACCTTAGAAGGAAAGGCACCAGCAGCTGTTGAGTTTGAGAAAGGTCTCTTGAAGAACATGGTGCTTAGTCAGACAGAGTCTTGAAGGAAGCCAGGGATTCTAAAAATCAGAGATGAAGAAGGAGAGCATTCCAGGCATGAGGCACAGCCAGACAAAGACATAGAGATGAGGAGATGGAGCATTTCATATGAGGAACAGCGCATAGACCAATATGGTCAGACTGCAATGTGCAAGGAATGGGTTCACGTTTAAGAAAACTAGAAATATGGGAAGAAGCCAGAGCTTTAAAAACCAGATGAATTGTCTGACACAAAGCAGGTGCATAGTAAATGCTTTTTAACTAACTGACTGATATTTGAGCCCAGAAGTAACGGGAAGCCATTGGGTTTTATTGTTGTTCACCCTGCATTTTGGAAGAGAACCAAAGACATCACAGGGTAGTGTCTTGACTTGCAAAAGGAGGTAAGGGTTACACGGTCAGATCTATGCTTTAGGAATATCGCCTTGACAGTTATGTGGAGAATACATTAAAGCAGAAAGAGACTTGAACTATGGAGGCCAATTAGGAGGCTGTTGAGCTGCTGAAGGTTGGCAGTCTAAGTGAAGAGAAGACAACAATTTCAAGAGATGTTATGGAGATAGAGATGTCAGGATCTGGCAACTAACTGGATATATGGGGTGAACAAGAGTGACCACTTGAGGATGACAACGAGGTTATGAACCTGGGGAACAGGAAAGACAGTGGTATACATAGCAGTATTAAGAAAGTTCAGAAGATAGGTAGATTTGGGGAAAACAGAAGAAATAATTAGATCTCTTTTGGATATATTGAGTGAGGCTTAAAGAATATAGAGATAGATATATAAATCTGGTAGTCATCTGCATACAGGAGATAATTGAACCTATGAAGCTGAAGACATCACCAAATGACTGGGTGAGGGACAGGGATAGAGAAGGAAAGAGGCAGAGAAAGAGAGAGAGAGAGAGAGGGAGAGGATACAGAACAGAGGACTGAGATAGCCATAGTTAATAGGAGAGGTGTAGATGAAGGAAAGGAGACTGAGAAGGATCTAAATAGGTAGGAGAGAAACACCATAGCAATATCACAAAAACCCAAAAAACAAAATGTAGCTAGGGTGAGAAGGTGGTCAACAGTGTCACATGGTAGAGAGAGATCAAAAGGATGGGGGTTTACAAAAGACCATTTGATCTGGCAATTAAGAAATCACTGGCAACCTTGGAGTTTCAATTGAATGATAATGAGGTCAGAAGCTGGATTGCAAAGAGTTTAGGAAAGAGAAACAGGAGAGGAAGCAGCAGGATCAAATCTAGATAAAATTTTCAAGGAGTTTAGCTGAGAATGAGAGGAGGGATAGGAAAATATATAGAGGAGACAGGCGAATCAAGTGAGAGGGTGTTTGTAGGTTTTTTGTTAATTTTTAAGGACCAAAGAGACATAGGTGTGTTTGTTGGCAGAAGGGAAGGAGCCAACACCTAGAGAGTGCTTGAAAATTAAAGGGAGGGGGTGATAGTTGGGACTTGATAAGGAGAAGGGCAGCTTCTTCATTAGAGACTGGAGTAAAGAAGAGATAGTGGGAGATGATGTCAGGACGGTGTGAGGTGAGAAGGGGCGGAGGAAATGAGAAACTCCACGAAAGCTAAAAGTCTGCTACTTCAGGAAGGGGACTGAAATATGCAATTATAGCTATTCCAATACCATATTGGCAGTCAAATTGAATAGGCAGAGCTTAATAGTATGCCTCAAAAAATATCTATATATACACAACGTTCATGATGTGAAGGTACTGCATACAATCAGGGAAACTCCCCTTAACCCTGCGGGTTTTGTGTGCACTGTCAATAAACAATGATAATTGTTATTTGGCTTATCCTGGGAGTGCAACTATTGGGGAAGTACAAGTCTTTGACACCATTAATTTGAGGGCCGATGACATGATACCAGCTCATGACAGTCCCCTAGCAGCCTTAGCTTTTGATGCAAGTGATACCAAACTCGCCCCTGCTTCTGAGAAGGGAACTGTGATTAGAGTATTTTCCATCCCAGAAGGACAGACAACCTTTGAGTTCTGGAGAGGAGTAAAGAGGTGTGTAAGCATCTCCTCTTTGGCTTTGGCATGAGGTAAATGACTTCATTTTTTGATGAGGTATGAAGGAAAGTCCTCAGCTAAGAGAATGGAGGTAGGGAACACTGTAGGAAGCTTGAGAAGAGAGAGAAAAGCACTTTTTAAGTACCTACAGAGACAAAAGTAAAAATTGGCCCTGTTCTCAAGAAGCTTACCTTCTACCAGGGGGATAAAATTTGGAAATAGGTAATTATATTTGTGATTATTTGATAAGAAAGAACTAGAGGAAATCAGGAAAGGCTTCCTGAAAGTGGCATCCTATGAGCTGAGTCTTGAAAGAGGCCAGGAATTCTAAGAGTCAATGGTGAGACAGGTGCATTCAAGAAATGAGGGATGGCCTCCACTTAGCTATAGAGATGGAAGATGAGGTGCTGAATTTGGAGTACTATAAATAGACCAGTTTGAAATTTAAAGGGCATAAAGTGGAGTAACATTAACTAAGCCTGAAGAAGGAATTTGGAATGAGATTATAAAGAGTTTTCAATTCCAAGCTAGAGAGTTTATATTTTGTTGAAGAAGCAATAGGGAGACATTGAATGTTCTGGAGCAGGGGAATGACATGTGACCTGTGCTTTAGAAAGATTATTTTGTGAGCTGTGTCTAGGATGCATTGGAGAGGTAACAGAAGTCAGTAATCCACTTAAAAGGCTATTGTGTGGTCCAGGCTAGAGGTGATAAGGGCCTTAAATTAGGTGACCATGAGAATGGATGGCACTGATGCTAAAGATGTGGAGAAAGAATTGACGAGATTTAGCAACTAATTGTATATAGGGAATGATTGAGAATGAATATTCAAAGTTATAAATGTGAGTGACTAGAACTATAGTGGTGACTTTAGCATAAATAGAGAAGTTTGGAGAGGGGTAGAGTTAGGTAGAAAGGCAGTGAATTTTGGTAGGGGTATACTGAATTTGATATGCCTGTGGGACACTTAGTGGAGATGGAGATGGGGATTCAATTAGGGAGGAGTTAAAAGATTGCCTTGCTGTAGTGATCTCTAGTTGAAATGAGATAAAATAAATTTGTAAGAGTGCTACACAATTTTCAGGTCTTTCTCTACCTTTGTTCAGCAGCACATGAATAGGAGAGGAGGAAATGGGTGGTAGGAGTTTTGGATTTGGTCACACATGAGTAGTGAGTGATAGAACAAGGGAGCAATGTTTTCAAGAATATAGGGGAATAAAGAATTGAACTGGTTCACTAAGGGGTCACCATTGGAAGGAAAGAGAATACTGCTAGAGTAGGGTTGATTGAGAGTGGTGAGATTATAGGTTCCAGTGAGAATGAAGAATAGGGAAATGAGGCTTAGGGATAAATGGATCAATAGATAGAAGGAAGGAAGATTTCACCTCTCAATATAGGAACTTTCTAAAGAGTGGAATTTCCAAAAAAAGCAACTGAGCTGCCTCACAAGGCAATAAGTTCTCATAAGAGGTGTTCAGGCTAGGAAACCATCTGTCACAGATCTCTTAGATTGAATCCTTGCTTTAAGTGGAAGAATAGACAAGTTTATCCTAGTAGGTTCTTCCACTTCTCAAACACTATTAAAAAATGTTTATGTGAAATTTGACATAGCTATAGCTCCTGTGGATCATTCAACCTGTGTTACAGACTGCAAGATTATCTGTAGTTTAACTGTAAACTTTATTTCCCTTATAATGCAAAGAAGCATGGAAGGTCTGTGAAGTACATGGAAAGGGGTTTCCAAAAATCTCTCTAATGAATTGAGCTTATATATCTCTTCCTTTAACCATGGTTGCTCTTTCCACGTAATCTTTGTGTCTGTAGGAGGGGAAAAATCTATTGAAAGCCCTAAACTCAGGGAAACTATTAAAAAGCTAATAAAAAGGATAAAGTGATAGATTGGGCAATAGTTCTTTCTGCATTAGGCAGTCTCCTTCTGAAACAGAAACCAAGAAACAAACAGCTGTTTGCTGATTGCTGAGCTCTCATCATTGCTTACTCCATATGGGTATATACTGCATAGGGGATCATATGATAATAACAGTAAGCATTTATGTAGTATTCTAAGGTTTGCAAAGTACCTATATTATCTCATTTGACACTCACAACAACCCTGTGAAGTAGGTGTTTTATATATGAGGACGCTGAGGCTGAGAAAAGTTAGGAGACTAGGTCTGTGGGGACGCATAGCTGGTTAGTATCTGGGACAGGATCTGAACTCCTGTCTTCTGGACTCTAAGTCTGGCACTCTATTCACTATACTACCTACATCATGTTGTTGTTGTTCAGTCATTTCAGTAGTGTCTGATCCTTTGTGACCCCATTTGGGGTTTTCTTGGCAAAGATACTGGAGTGGTTTGCCATTTCCTTCTCCAACTCATTTTACAGATGAGGAAACTGAGGCAAACAGGGTTAAGTGACTTGTCCAGGGTCACACAGCTAGTAAGTGTCTGAGGCCAGATTTAAACTCAGATCCTCCTGACTCCAGACCCGGAACTCTAGCCACTGCGCCACCTAGCTGCCCACCTACATCATAGGATCACAGAGTAAGAGCTAAGTGGGACCTCAGAGGATATCTAATTTAACCTCCTCATTTTACAGATGAGGGCAGAGAGGTTAAGAGATATTGTCAACTAGGTCGCAAGTCCTACTGTGCATAAAGCAGTTACCATATTAGAGAAAGTGGTCCATAGCAAGCCATGGAGCCAAAGGCATACAATCTCTTTGCCCCATTAAACCTTTTACTCTCAATTCTCAATATATTCCTTGCCTCTGAGGCTGTACCTTCACACCTCAACCTCCACACTCCATCTATTCTCTTAACTCTCTCCAATTATTCTTGATCATTCTTTCATCAGGCTACACCCCAAATGGACCACTAAAGCTCAGGCTTGCAACTTCTATGTTGTCTGGCTGATTCTTCTACAAAGCTTATAGCCATTTCACAACCAAATGCTCAGGCTACTATCTGACATTCACAAAATGCCCCTACCTCCCTAGAATTTGTAATAACTTACTCTTTTTCCAGCTGTCCCAGCAATGGTGAAAGGTGGGGAGAAAATCTCCTCGTAGAAATAGTCATACTTGATTCTGTCTTCCCTTCATAGTTCCACAGCATCCCAAGGTACTGACAGAAGGAGAGCTTTCTGGAATTACTACTTCATTCATTTTAGATTTTGACCAGAGAGCACCTACCTTCCAGGATTGTCATGAAGATCAATTGAAATTATATTTGTAAAGTGCTTAGCACAGTGCTTGACACCTAGTAGGCTCTATATAAATGTTAATTATTAATTAGGAACAGAATTTTAAATCTGACCACTGTATCAAGTCTAACTGGCTAGTATCTATATTTCTATCAATTGTACATTTATCATAATGCTTGTGAATTAGAGGCTCAGCAAAATTATCTTTTATGTAAACTGAAAGTCGTTGAACAATGGCTAAAAAAATGATAGCTGAAATTTAAATGGCCCTTAAAAGGTTTCAAAGTATTTTATTTCATTTGATCTTCACAATATCTCTGTCAGGTTAAGTCCTATTATTATCCCCATTTTATAGAAGAGGAAACTGAGGCTTGGAGAGAAATCACTTATCCCAGAAGAATAAAGCCTAGAAGTGTCTGAGTTGGAATTCATGCCTAGGTTTTCCTGATTCCTCATCTAGCATTCTGTCCATTATGTTACACTGCTAGTTATCATATAGGCCTAGAGGAAGTTGTTTTTATTTTTAAAATAGGAGTTGTATTTCTGATAGGGGTTCAGAAAAGACATAGTGGGCCACAATAGGGTCTCCCAAGTGAGTTCATGCTTAGCCTCTATCCTTCTCTGGCCTCATATCTCATTCACACATGAAGCTTTGTTGGAAGACAGCAGGTGAACGTGTAGAAGAATATTCATAGGATAGACATATATATGTAGGGCTGGCTTTTCCTATAACCAGAGCAGCCAATTTCCTATGTAGTATGATTTGAAGACACTTGGAAAATCTTTCTCTTCAAATGTATCTCCCTGCTACTGGTTACGCTTTACCATTAAAGATTCTTTCCTTTGGGTTAAACACTTCTTCTCCTGTGAGTCTCTTTTTAAAAATGCAGACCACTTTTGGAGAAATGAGGAATGACATCTTAATATTATCTCACTGCCAAGAAGATTCCCTGTCTAATAGGCAAGGCCTGTGGAAGCAGAGGGCAGAGGACATGTAAAACGAGGAAGGAAAGGGGAGAAGAGGAAGTGGTGGTTATTAAAGAAAAACCACCTACTTTTCACAATTCTGCCAAGGGTCAGCCTTGAATGTGAGAATCAGCAAAGTATATTCAGGGCGCAAGAATACTTTCAAAGTACAAAAAACCTCTGGAGGAATACTACCTTCATTTGAATTCATTGACAAGAAGTTTGACTTTCTCATGCAGGGATTCTCAACCATTTTTGTGTCACTGACCCCTTTGGCAGTCCAGAAAAGCCTGATGGGCCCTTTTTTGGAATGTTTTTTAATAGTAATAGGAAGAAATACCCAATTTTAGTTAGAGACTAGTGAAAATAAAGATGTAATTTTTTTCCCTATCCAAGTTCATGAACCTCTTGAAATCTATGCACAGACGCCTGAGGGGTTCCTAGATCCTAGATTAGGAATCCCTGGTCTAACAGAAAGGGCTCATAAGAGTTGCATGTATGATGAGGTAGTAAAGTTTTACCTTAGGACTTGATATAGTTCCCCAGATAAGTTAATAGATGACTTCTCTCCTCCTTCATATTTCTCATCTCATTCATAGGAGCCACAGGAAAAGAATTGTTTAACCCAATGAGTAACAATGAAAGTAGGTTTTCTTCTATCATCTTTTACACAGTGCTTTTGGAAAGTGTTTTCTCTGCCACTTTGTCTAGAACAATTTCCAGTTCCTGTTGATGACAGGGTTGCTATTCTGGGACACTATAGCACTTATTCTCATTGGCGTATTCCCCTCCAACAGGTATAATGCCGCTCTCCTTGAAGAAGGGAAGATCATGCACAGGCTGAAGCATAATCGGGTAGTGAAGTTCCTAGGCTTTATTTTAGAAGATGGGAATTATTCTCTTGTAATGGAGTATATGGAAAAGGGGAATCTAATGAAGGTGCTGAAGACAGTAAGTAAAGAGCTTCTTACACACAAACTTTTGTAGACATTGTGGTTGAGCTTTTGCAGCTGATTTTCCATTATGGTTATTTTGATGTCTTTTTGCATACTGGTTGGCGTAGAAATTTGGTACTAAATTGTGTTGTCTGTTATTTTTTTGTGGGCGTATGCCTACCTGCCTAACCAAACTATGAAGTCCTTAAGGGCAGACACTGCCTCACTACCTAGTGCAAGGCCTTATACAAAATAAGGACTCAGTAAATACTTATTAGGTTATTAATAATGTAAACCTATAATCTGATTCTTTGAAACATGATTTTCTTGGTGTGGGTTTTCTCTCTATCAATAGAGTAAATAAACCCACCTTAATGTCTTATGGGATACCCTGGCCAAAAATTTCATCACCCGCTGGCTAACCTTATGGTGATGAGATGTAGATGAACTGGGTAAAATATATAATAGCATGACAAATGTCATGCCATAAACCAAATGAAGGACCACTTCTTTTATGCCAAATATATAACCTTACTTGTTCCTGGCAACCTAACTGGATGAGATCAGTGTAAGAAAAGATAGTTGACAAATCCAAGCCACTATCACTCCTCTCTGGTTTATGTTTTTAAAGCAGTTTTTATGGTTTATGTCTCTTAGTTTCCTAATTTATACATTCCTTAAAATTGAATGAGAAAATCACATCTAATTCTCTGAAAATTGGTTTTCAGTTTATGGTATAGGAATTGTACCCATAAAGAAACTAGATTGACTTTTAGCAAACATTTCAATTCCACCAACATTTAAAAAACACTTGCTGTGTATATGGTACTATCTCAAGTACTGAAGGAGTGCCAAAGTTTAGCTGACATGGTCCAATCCCTCAAGGAACTGATATTCTAGCAAGGGGATGAGACATATCCTGGTAACTATAATACTCAGCAATGCATGATACACACAATGAAGAGATGTAAGATAAAGTGAGATCCACAGGGGAATGGGGAAGGTGATTGGGAATGGCTTCATAGAGGAGATGGCCTTTGATTTGGATGTTAAATGACAGGTAGGAATTCACTTAAGAGGTAGGTAAAGGAGAGACAATTCAAGACTAAGAAATAGTGTAAACAGAGGTATAGTGGAAATGCATGTGTGTTTTGGGGGACAGAATGTAGTCCAGTTGAGCTCTAGCACATAATATGTGAAGGGCAGCAGTATGAGGGAAATCTGAATGGGTTGATGCCAAATTGTGGAGGACTTTAAATACCAGCCAAAGGAGCTAGAACTTTATTCCATACAAAAAAAAAGGAACTACTGAGGATTTTTTTTTTTTTTTGGTTAAAGAGTCACAAGACTAGCTCTTTTCTATTATTTTGAAAGTTGTGTGAAGGATATAATAGGATGTGGGAGTAGGAGAAGGGAGAAGAAAGCGGAAGTAGGATGTCTTGTTTGTTTCCAGTAGTATCTGGAAATCATTGTCTGCACCCAGTTAGTGGCAGTGAGAAGACAGAGGGGCAGATGCACCCAAGAGATGCCGCAGAGGGGAAACTGCCATGACTTGGTACACTGATCATCATCTTGGGAGGAGGGCAGTTCTACATTAATTTTGTTTCATTGATGTTGCCCCTTCTTACACTGCTTTGGGACTCTGCTTTTGGAATTCCTTCAGATCCAGTTTACAAGTCACATAAGAAAGTCAGCCCTATTGCTTTATAGTTACACCTTTGACAAAAAACAAGTATCAAGCAAAAAAGCTAGGGATCGCTCACCTCATTCACTAAAGTTAGCTCTGGAGGACTTTCAGCTGTTCCCTCAAAAAACAAGTCACAGTTTACACCCAAGGGTAGGCAAAAGAATAATGCTACAGGCTCTCATCGCAAAACAGAAGTTCCAACAACGTTTGGAGTAATTGCAAGCATCATTGGAATACTGTGTGTGCATAGCCTTCCAAAATAACTGCTTTGAAAGGGACAACAATGACTTGAATGAACTTTAGCGAAAATTTTCAGGGAAAGTAGAAATATTTTATTACTATGGTGATAAAAATGTACCAAAAGGAATTCAGATTTTCTGGCATGTTTGTTAAAGAGTTGCATAGGGGCAGCTAGGTGGAGCAGTAGATAGAGCATCAGCCCTGGAGTCAGGAAGACTTGAGTTCAAATCCAGTCTCAGGCACTTGACGGTTACTAGCTGCGTGACCCCGGGCAAGTCCCTTAACCCCATTGCCTAGCCAAAGAAAGAGTTGCATACCTTTATAATCATACCTATATTTTTTTTATAGATCGGACCTCTTCCACACTATGTCCTTTTTCTCTCAACAGGCAGCATAGTGTAGTGGACAAAACACTGAACTTCAAGTCAGGAGGATCTGGATTCAAGTCTGATACTTATTAGATGGGTAACCATGAGAAGGTGATATAGCCTCTTTGAGTCTCAGTGTCCTCAGCTGTAAAATGGGATAACAGTAGCGCCTGCCACACAATGTTATTGTGAGGTTTAAATAAGACTGTATGAAACGTATTATACTAATGTTAACTTTTATTATTATTTTAAAGGTTTAAATCTTTCTTTTTTCCAGTCCTGTCTCCATGAAACAATATAGATATAGCATTAACTTCTAGCATTACATTGATGTGATACAGCATCTGTGCTCTGAAATTCCATAGAGAAACTTTAAAAATTTTTGGCCTTTATAACAACCAATCAATGTGAAAATTTCAGTATATAAAGAACGAGAAGATTGTATGCAAAACCACCAAAAACATGTTGAAGCATCAAAATGCTTTGTTTTATGCAAAACCATGTAGTTTTTTAAAAAGTATATAGTAATTTTAATATGGTATTAACAAAATTGCCTTGTTTGTGTCACCTTCGGAACTTTAGAGAAATTTTTACAGGAAAGTGGAAATGTTTTATTATTACCATGGTTATAAGAATGTAGCAAAAAGCAAGAAATCAAATTTTCAGGATGCTGCTAAAGGGATAATTCTCAGTGATTAAATTGCATCCTTTTTAGTGCTCTGCTCTCCAAAGAGCTGATTCATGAGACTATTGCCCTATCTTGTCTTTTTGTTCCTTTACTCACTAGAATTCTTTGTTATTTTTGTTTTAGACTAGTATCCCCTTGTCTGTGAAAGGGAGAATCATTCTAGAGGTCATTGAAGGAATGTGCTACTTACACAGAGAAGGTGTAATTCACAAAGACCTAAAGCCGGAAAACATCCTTGTGGATGACGACTTTCATGTTAAGGTGATGATGGCTCTCACAGAGTACTGGGATCACTCTCTGTACTTACTGCATTCTGTCCACTCTGATCTGCATGTGTCTTCTGTGTGCCATAGAGCGATGTTAGTATACAGGATATTAGGTAACAACCAGCTCAGCCCTTTACTGGTGCTGGTAATAGTTTAAAAAAAAAAAAAAAAGATCAGCATTGTGGAGTTGGGGGATGAAATGTTCACTATTTTCTATATTGATTACAGGTTAAGAGCAACATTTAGTAGTCTTACTCTATTCACACTAGAATTATATGGATTCCCCCAACCAGAGATAAAATTGTTCCCTTTGACTTGGTCTCATTTGTACATTTTAGTCTTTCTCTCCTATTTTCCCTTTTTTGTGTTTTCTTTCGGATCTCTGTATTTTCTTTACTGCCTCCTTCCTTCCCTTAGGTTCCGGCCAGTGACTCCACAAGTAGTGTCATGGCCCTCTCCTCAGGGTGTCTCTTGCTGAATGAAACTTCTGGGTATGTGGAACAGCTTGCACCAACTGACCAATGGACATTACTTGGGGGAAATATAAAGCACACATCCCCAGGTCACTATCTGCTGGCTACTCAGAGAGGAGGTCTGCTCAAAAGGAAAATTTTCCTTGCCCCTAGAAATTTTTGAATAACACAAAAGGAAAAAATAGGAAATTTTAATAGGGTTTTTTTTAATCCTTTCTTTGATCCTATCAAAAACTGCCTTTAGCTTTTTTACAGCTGCTTTGGAAATTTTCATAGAAATTAAGATAAAAGAAGACCAAAATGATAAAATAAATTTCTAAGGGACATTTCCAGAGAAATTTCTAGATTCCTGAGAAATCAGTGGAACAGTGTGGTATAGAAGTATTCTAAGTGTGGAACCAAAGGATCTTGGTTCAAATCCCAGCTCTGCCACTCACTGCCTGTATGACATTAGGCAAGCCAGTTAATCTCCTTGAGCCTCAATTTTTTTATATTTAAAATGAGAAGATTAAGCTAGATGTCTTCTCACATCCCTTCCAGCTCTAAATCTATGACATAAAACTTAATAATTTATTATTGGTAGACAACTTTTATTTAGGTAAAGTAGTCAGAACTTTTTTTTTATAATTTTGCTAGTTAAATTTGCTATCTAAATGTTACCTTTTTTCTTTTAAAATTTATGTTGTTTGTCCTTTGTTTTCGAGAAGGACCAGTGACATCACAGGGTGATGTCTTGACTTGCACATGAATTGGATTGAAGTGAGACAGAGCTATGCAAAGTCAGCCTCACTCTCTCTTCCTGAGTCATTGAAGTCCAGTGGCAGGACAAAAGTCAAGATAAATGGCAATGGCCCAGAGTGCAGTGGATGACTTTTTCATCTTTGATGCCAAAGAAGCTCTAAGTGCTCCACAATGCCCATTTCAGCCACCTTTGTGGCCACTGGAAAAAATTGTTTCTCATCCCTCTGGGAAAAATTTTCACATACTTGGGGTAGACATCTCCCTAATTCACTAATAGGTTTGAGGACTGTTCAACCTGGTTTAGCCCTTCTGATGAGACGGTTTACCACAGGACGTGGGCTGGGGTGGACGATACACATACTACAGCTTCTTGGAGCCATAGGTTAGACTTGGGTGAAGGTGGATGAACAGCCCTGAAAAGGGTTCAGCAAGCGCTCACACCTGAGGTGCTAGTGCTCCCATACACCATAGCAACTAGGTGGTGAAGTGGATAGAGTACCTGGCCTGGTATTAGGAAAATTTGTCTTCTGAGTTCAAATGTGATCTCAGACATTTACCAGCTGTATGACCCTGGGCAAGTCATTTAACCCTGTTTGCCTCAGTTTCCTCATCTGTAAAATGAGATGGAGAAGGAAATGGCAAACTACTCCGGTATCTTTGCCAAGAAAACCCCAAATGGGGTTACGAAGAGTTGGACATGACTGAAAAACAACTAAACAACAACTCATATGTGCCATATTTGTCTAAAAATTCATGTATGTCTATAATGACTTGGATAAAATCAAAGTTTTCTGCAAGATTTCATAGTACCTCCCATTTTAAGTCAATCCAACAACACTTATTAAGCACCTGTTGTGTTCAGGGCATTATACTAGGCAGTGGAGATACATAGATGAAAAATGACCCAATCTCTGCTCTTAAGGAGCTTACAGTCTAGTGGGGGATATAACATGTACATATATAGGCCCAATATTATGTAAAATGTAGTAGGAATGAAGGAGATGGCCAAAGTATTATAAGAAAACTTGAAGAGGGAGTGATCACTTTCCAAAGTTACCTCATTTATATATCCTGCAGTCTGATCTCAGGTTTTACCTTCTTTTGCAGATAGCAGATCTTGGTGTTGCCTCCTTTAAGACCTGGAGCAAACTGACTAAAGAGGAAAACAACAGGCAGAGGAAAATAAATACCACTGCTAAGGTGAACGCTGGCTGCCTGAGTACTGTGGCTAAGGCAAATGCTGGCACCCTATTGTACATGGCCCCAGAACACTTGAACGATATCAACGCAAAGCCCACTGACAAGTCGGATGTGTACAGCTTTGCCATAGTGCTCTGGGCAATCTTTGCCAACAAGGAACCGTATGAAAGTAAGACATGTGGGAGAACATCATATGATTAACCCAAATTGTCCTATGAAATTAAGACCCATATTTCTTTGAAAAATCAGTTACAATTTAAAACAAATTCAGGCTAAAAAGAAAAGATTCATAGTACTGATAAGAAATCCTAATAATCCTAATGCTTCATCCAAACCCTGGAAGGGTGCTTAGTCTTCAACAAAAAGGGACTTCGTGTATTTATTTAACACAGCTTGAGTAAACTGCTATGCTAGTCCCTGAAGTACAAAAAGTTGTATAAGACATAGTTCCTGTCCTCAAAGAACTTATAATCTAGAAGGAAAGGTGAAAGGGAAAACAAGTGCACCATGAAACACCCTCCCATTAGATGTTCCTACGATTGCAGAAAACATCTAAAGTTAGTGGAAATTGATAGTTTGGGAACTGCAGACTAACTTTTTAGGGATGGCAGATAATAGGAAGGGGGTGATTTAGCTTTTGGGTTGAACTGGTCTGGATATAGTGGTGAGAGTGAGTAAAAAATAAGATGTGAAGAGAGGGTGCAGTATACCTGTGGCATGTGTGGTGTTTGAGCCTGTCTCCATCCCTTGTCATTGGGGTACAAACAGATGCTCATAGATATCTGTGTCCAGGGTTTTGGTTCATACTGTTCCAAAGCCCACACATAATGTGTACCAGAACAATGAAGCTTGGCTAAATCTAGCCTGTACCAACTGAGCTTGCCCTCAATTTTCGATCCCTAGTGAAGAATACTCAGTTGGTTAGGTTGGTTATGAGGCATATTTAACATAGGGAGTAGTGATTTTCCCGATCCTTCTTTCACATGACAAGCCTTTGACTGAAAGACTTTGAATAGAGACACGATTACCATTTCACAGTGTTTTTTAATTGAATTTATAATGTTGGTGGGGGGGGTGGGATGGGAACTATTACATGATTTGAGAAGCTTACAATGTAATTGTACATACACATGTGTACATATATACATACACATATGTATGTATATAAAACTAGTTAGAAAAATTAAGAAGCCTCTTGATAAAAGTGAAAAAGGAGAATGTAAAAGCTGACTTGAATCTTAACATCCAAAAACTAAAATCTTGGTAACTAGTCCCATCACTTCCTGGAAAATAGAGGGAGAAGAAATGGAAGCAGTATCAGATTTTGTATTCTTGGGCTCAAAGATCACTGTAGAAGGCTACTGCAGCCATGAAATTAAAAGATACTTGCTCCTTGGAAAAAGCTATAGCAAATTTGGACAGCATATTAAAAAGCAGAGACATCACCTCGCCAACAAGGATCTGTATAGGCAAAGCTATAGTTTTTCCGTGGCAGCTAGGTGGCACAGTGGAGAGAGTTCCTGGCCTGGAGTCAGAAAGACCTGAGTTCAAATGAGACCTCAGACACTTACTAGCGATACGAGCCTGGGCAAGTAATTTAACCCTGTTTGCCCCAGTTTCCTCATCTATAAAATGAGCTGGAGAAAGAAATGGCAAACAACTTCAGTATCTCTGCCAAGAAAACCCCAAAATTAGGGTCGTGAAGAGTCAGACATGACTGAAACAATTGAACAACAACATGGTTTTTCCAGTAGCACTGTATGGCTGTGAGAGTTGGACTATAAGGAAAGCTGAATGCTGCAGAATCGATGCTTTCAAATTGTGGTGCTAGAGAAGACTTAAGATTCCCTTGGATAGCAAGGAGATAAAATCAGAAATTAATTCTGGCTCTTCACTGGAAGGTGAAATACTGAAGCTGAAGTTTAAATACTTTGGCCACATAATGAGAAGACAGGATTCATTGGAAAAGACCCTGATGTTGGGAAAGATTGAAGGAAAAAGGAAAAGGGGATAGCAGAAGATGAGATGACTAGATAGTGTCATGGAAGCAATGAACATAAGCTTGGACATACATCAAGAAATTATGAAGGATAGAAGGGCCTGGTGTGCTCTGGTCCATGGAGTCACAAAGAGTTGGACACGACTGAATAACTAAACAACAGCTAAGTAGAACAAGCTAAGGGCATGTTTTGTTTTGTTTTTTAAGTTTCCAAAAATGACTTAACATGTACAAGATGGGGGAGGCAAGACTACGCAGCAGTTCCTCTCAAAAAGATTTGGAGATTTTAGTAATTATAGTAAAACAAAAAAGCTAACATTATCTTATGCTGCACTTTTGAGACATAGTATCAAGGAAAAAGAGGTCCTAGGCCCACTCTATGCTGGTCAGCCCACAACTGGAATATTGTGTTCAGTTCTAGAAACCATACTTTGGGAAGGTCATTGATAAACTAGAAAACATTCAGAGGAGATTGAAGGATAGTGAAGGGGCACAAGCTCATGCCATATGAGGATTGGTTGGAGAATGGGGAATCTTCACCCTAGGGCCGGGGGTAAAAAGAAGATGCAGAAGCACGTGATTGCCATCTTCCGGTATTTAAAGGCTTGTCATGTGAAAGAAGGATCAGATTTGTGTTCCTTAGCCTCATAGAGCAAAACTAGGTGCAATGGGTCAATGTTAAATGGCCCTCATGTAAGGAAAACAATTACTTAGAAGCAGAATGGGCAGCTTTAGGAGGTAATGGAGTGGAGGTGGTAAGAGATTGATGAATCTCACGAAGGTAGAGTGTTGGAAGGGTCATTAGTGTAAATATTGAAATTACTAAGGAGGAGGGTGGAGGTTTAGGAATAGGCTGATAAGCCAGGTAAAGAATGTGAAAGAGTCCCTTGAAAGTTGAGAAAGGTTGGAATATGAAATAAAATGTTGGTGTTATAGAGATTCCACAAACCATTGCTCCCAGCTAAATTTTGAGGGACTTAGAAGGAAAGACAAGTGATAATTGTGTAGCTGGGGGCTGGAAGCCTTCAGGGATCTCATCCGCTGACTAGATGACCTATGAAATCCCTTACAACTAAGGGATACTCTATGTTAAAAGAATCTCTTCTGGGGCAGCTAGGTGGCGCAGTGGATAGATGTCAGCCTTGGATTCAGGAGGACCTGAATTCAAATCCAACCTCAGACACTTGATACTTACTAGCTGTGTGACCCTGGGCAAGTCACTTAACCCCACTTGCCTCACCAAAAAAAACAAGACAAAAGAGTCTCTTCTGTCTCTCTTAACAGTTATACCCATTGCAAACACTAAAAGTAATCCCTAGTATAAAGGTAAAAACTTTGTTTACATATTTTCCTTTTGCTGCAGAGCACTTTTATGAAAGGAGATTGGAGAAAGAAGAAGAGCAGTGATGAAACTTATCTTTGCCTTTCAGATGCTATTTGTGAACGGCAGATAATAACATGTGTTGGAAATGGAAACAGACCAAATGTGGGAGAAATTGCTGAAAAGTGTCCAAAGGAGATTATTAACCTCATGGTACGCTGCTGGAATGGGAATCCAGATGAACGACCAACCTTTAGTGGTAAGATATTTATGAACCTGAGCTATACCCTATATAAAGATTTTCAGGGATGCTGCTGATAGGAGCTTAGAAAATCAAGTCCTAAATTCGAGGTAGTTTCAAATTGATTTTCCAGATCTTTTCAAGAGCTTTTTTTTTTCAAAGCACTCACAACAAAGCCAAATATTTTGTTTCTATCCTTTGTCTCTCTTTCCTCTTCTAGTTTCTTTAACATTTGTATGACAAGTGACAGGCTAGTAAGTGTAGTCCTTATAAGTCAGCACACAGTGTACATCAGTGTGCTCAGTTGATATAATTGCCCAAGAAAGGGGCTGGAGCTCCTGCTTCCAGAAAGTCACAAAGATGTATAATTGACGTGCTCTGAGATACTGTGGAGCATACATAAACATTCTGTGACTGATTTTTATCTGCTAACGACATGGTGGGCAGTAGCTTATTTAATTGGATGCAGTTGTAGAACTGGGACCATTTTTAAAAAGCCTCAGATGGCCTCAGCCTCCTGCTCTCTCAGTTGGAGTTCTGATCTTGCTTTGACTCCTATGATATTAGGTGGGAGACAATGCTGTAAGAGGAGAGGCCTTAGGCGCTCTCTCTCTCTCTCTCTCTCTCTCTCTCTCTCTCTCTCTCTCTCTCTCTCTCTCCCTCTCTCTCTCCCCCCCACCCCCCAGTGGCCTAGGAATATAGGTTTGAGTTCTTTGCCTGATGTGGTATTTGTTCTTTTTCATTTTAGGTGAAGGAAGTTGGGGGCTGTGACCTTTGTGAGTTTCAGAAGGTCAAGAGAGCAAGACACCCAAGGTCTGGGAGTTCAGGACGTCTGCTTTCTTGACTTTTTGAAACACTAAAGACAGTAGCATCCAACTTCTTGCTTCTCTGGGCATCAGTGATGGGCTAGCTGCAAAGATTAGTATTGGACTGGGCTTCAGGACTTTCAGACCAAAGCCTTTCCCCTTTATAGCACTGTCCCTTGCCCAACACCATCAACAAAGAAGTCAGTTCATGAGTGGAGGCCCTCCCAAGAAAGCCAAGAGGCCAAGGCCAATTAAAATTCTTTGAAGGTGTTCTGAACCAGTTAATATACTCTGTGCAGGCTTTATAGGACCAGGCTTATTGGCAAATCTCATATTTGCATTGTATTGTGTATGGGTGTGTTTACTTTAGAACAAGTATACGCATAAAAGAGAGGAGCAGGGAAGGAGCTGAAATGATTGCCCTTTCCCCAAGGATGCAAAATGGCGTAGTACCAGACCTCAAGGAACATAGTACCTAATGAGGGGTGGGAGAGACATATACACAGAAGCTATGATACAGGGAGTATGAGAGTTCCAGAGTTCTGTGATAAATTTGAAAAGAGTTCACTTTCACTTGTTGGGGGGTAGAGGAGAGTGGGGAGAGAATCAGAGATGGCTTCCTTGAGAAAGTGGTACCTGAGTTACAACATGAAGAAAGGGAAGCTTTCAAAAGGAGAGGAAGCAGGGAGGCAAATGAGAATGACCAAAGGCAGGGAAATGGGAGAGAGCAGGGGGAAAACTAAAGACAGTGAGTAGTCCTGTTTGGCAGAAAAGAGGAGCTAGATTGTAGAGAATATCTAATAATAATAATAATAATAAATGCTAACATTTATATAGTTTGTAATATGTGCCAGGCACTATGCTAAGTGCTTTACAACTATTATCTCATTAAATCCTCATAACATCCCTGGAAGGTAGGAGCTATTATTATTCCCATTTTATAGATGAGGAAACTGAGACAAACAGGTTAAGCGACTTGCCCAGGGTTACACATCAAATAAATGTCTGAGGCCAGAGGCTACATAAGATCCTTTGCTTCCGAGAGATTCTTGGGATGTTGTACTTCCTGTCTAGCCTGTTATCAGCTTTCTTATTAATTCTCTTTATCAAAGAACTATTTCATTTTATTGCTTTTTCTAATCACTCTTTAGGAGCATTTCACTTTGTAAAGATTAACAACTCAATTGTAAAGAGGACAACATTGATGAAATGTTTTACAGTGATGAACACTAATGAATGGCAGGATGAGGAATATTGGTTTTAATTAGTAAGCAATGAAAAGCCAGTAAAGGTTTTGAGTAGACAACTGGTAATGATCAAAGCAATACAATAATGAGAATTTTATTTGGCAGCTAGAGAAAGATGAGTTGGAAAAGGGAGAGATTGAGTCAAGGAGCACCCTAAGGAAGGGAAAGTCATTTCAGGGAGAATAAAAAAGAGAGAATGGATCCAAGAAAAATTGGAGGGAGAGGGGTGGATTCACAAGACTTAGCAACTAATTAGTGAAAAAGAGGGAAGAGTCAAAGATACCCTGAGCCTAAGTGACTTCCCTTGTCACTTGTCCACCTAGGACTCTTAATCCTCTCTCTCTTTGCCTTTGTACATTGAACATTGTCATCTTGTGCATTCTAGACTCAAATTTATGCCATTGGTGATGCTTCACCATCAAGGTTCCACAGTTCCCAACCCACTTGAAGTGGTAAATCAAAATAAGGAGTGCTGAATCAGTCTACTCTGGTCTATGAAGGGGAAGCTGGGAAATACTATAGCAACCCAAGATCCTTTGCTTCTTAGAGCCTTCTAGCATGCTGTACTTCCTGCCTAGCCTATTAGCAACTTTATTATTAATTTTTTTTATTAAGAAACTATTTCCTTTTTTTTTCTTTGCTATTTCTCATAGCTAAATGACTCCAGGGTCATTTTACTTTATAAAGACATTTTTACTTTTGTGCTAAAAAATGTTAAAACTGTAAAAAAAATTTTTTTCACAGAAATCGACCAAGAATTCAGACCTTTCTACATTGAACAATTTGAAGAAAAGGTGGAAGAAGATGTGAAGAATTTAAAAGTAAGTAGAGTAGTGGATGCTCAAAAATGGAAATTTATGTCACATATTTGAATGCTTAAACATAAACAACAGGGAGGCACAGCATTACTGTTTCTGTGGTTTTTCCAAGAACTTCATCTTGGTGGCCACAAAAATGAACATTAGCTGCTGAGTTTTCATTTGTTTTTCTTTTACAAAGTGATTAATTTTTTTTATGCTAAAAAGCAAAAGGCTTTTTTTTTTCTACATGGGGAAAAGAGGATCAAAGAAGGAATGAGGACTCCTCAGGTCAGGGTGGATTGAATAATAAAAATGGAAAGGGAAAACTAAGAGTAGGAAGAATCACACAACTTTTGCTCTGTTTCTGTTTTCTCTCTGTCCTACAGAATGATCTTTGGACTAGAAAGGATAGAATGAAAAATAGCTAATAGAGAGTTGAAACTCAAGATAAGTAGAGGGACAATAAGAAATCGTCTAGTTGTTCTTGATGAATTTGTCACCAGACCAAGGTGAACTAGATCCTTGGGTACTGAAAGAACTAGTAGCTGTAATGGCTGAACCATACTCAGTGATCTCTGAAAGATGGTGGAGAACAGAAGAGGTACTCAGGCCTAAAGAAGGACAAATGCTGTCCCAATTTTCAAAAAAGGGAAGAGAATAGTCTGCAAATTATAGACCAAAGAGCTTGACTTCAATTCCTGACAAAATTTTAGACTATTCTTACTGAAGTTACAGTTAGTGAACATCTAGAAAAGGAAGCAGTGATCACAGATAGTTATCAGTATGGCTTCATCAAGAATAGAATCATACGGGAGCAGCCAGGTGGCGCAGTGGATAGAGCATGAGCCCTGGAGTCAGGAGGACCTGAGTTCAAATCCAACCTCAGACACTTGACACTTACTAGCTGTGTGACCCTGGGCAAGTCACTTAACCCCAATTGCCTCACCAAAAAAAAAAAAAACAAAGAAAAAAAGGAATTGAGTCACATCAGACCAACCTTCATTTTTTGATGGGATTTTTAACGTCAGAGGAATGCTATAAATACAGTTTCTCTAGATGTCAGCAAAGTACTTACAAAATTTCTCATGCTATCTTTACGGAGAATATGGAAAGAAGTGGACTAGAGGATAGCATAGTTAGCTGGATTCAGAACATGCTGAACTGCCAATAAGTACTGTAAGATGAGGTTGTATGATGTAGTGGAGAGAGGACTGAACTCGGAGTTAGGGTACTTGGGTTCAACTTCCTACTCTGACATTTACTAGCCAGGTGAACCTGGGTAAGTCATTTATTCTTTTATGTGCCAGTTTTCTTATCTGTAAAATGGAGAAAATAACATTTCCCGACCTATCTCACAAAGTTGTTATGAGGAAAACACTTTGCAAATCTTAAAATGCCACATAAATGTGAGCTGTTATCATTATTATTATTTGAGGTTCAATGTCAACTTGGAAAGAGATCTTTATTAGAATATCCAGGGATGGTTCCTTGGCTCCCATACTATTTAACATTTTTATCAGTGACTTGGATGAAGACATAAATGACACACTTACCATGTCTGTAAGTAACACAGAAATAAATGGAAGGCCTAGCTAACATGTTGAATGACCAAATCAAGATCCAAAAGCATCTTGACAGTTTAAAACAATGGACTAAATAGAATATGGTGAAATTTAATAGAGATGAATGTAAAGTCTTAGCCTGGGATTAAAAAAAATCAACTTTATAAGTACTAATTAGGCATCATGTAACTGATTGTGAAAAATATCCGGGGTAAGGAAGTTATGGACTGTATGCTTAATATAAATCAGTAGTGGAATGGTAGTGGCCAAGAAAACAATTGAAGTCTTAGATTACATGAAAAGATAAGTAGTCCAGAATGAGGCAGGTAACAGCCCTGCCTCAGGGCTGGGTCAGACCAAACCCTGGAGTATTGTGTTCATTTCTGGGTGACAAATGTGAAGTCATCCAGAGGATGGTGAAGGTCCTTGAGATCATGTTATATGAGAAATGGTCAAAAGAAATGGGAATTCTTAGCCTAGGGAAGAGAAGACTTAGAGGTGACATGTTAGATATGTTAAAGATGTTTTAATTTGAAGGCAGAGGACCTGGGTTCAAATGCTGACTATGTCACTTACTACCTGTGTGACTTTGGTCAATTCACAACATCTCTGGGTCTCAGTTTCCTCATTTTTAAAATGAGGGAGTCGGACTACATGACTTCTCAAGTCCTTTCCAGCTCTGAATCTATCATCCTATGATCTTATGTATCTGAAGAAGTCATGGGGAAGAGAGGTTAGATTTGTTCTGCTTGGTTATGAGAGGCTGAGCTAGGAGCACATGAGCACATTTAGGCATAATGTAAGGAAAAACCTGACAATTTGAACTCTCCATAAATATAACAGGCTGCCTTGGGAGGCTGTGGACTGTCTATCACTAGAAGTCTTTTAGCAAAGACTGGATAATAATTTGTTGGAGATGTTGTAAATGGTATTCTTACTCAGAAATGGGTTAGACTAGATGATGGCAAAGGTCTCTCCCATCTCAGACTGCAAATGTCATAATTCATATGATTTTGTGTTTTCCACAACTGGATTATAGTTGCTGCTTGCAAAAGCATTGCTTTTTGTTTTTGGCTTTTTCTATAGAAAGCATATCCTGCTCCAAATGAAGTAGTGAAAAAGATGCAGTCCCTCCAGATTGATTCGGTACCAGTGCCCCCAAGCAGAACAAATTCAGGTAACTTCCAGGATACCTGCAAGTCACTTCATTTGTATTTTCATTCATTCATTTAACAGACATCTATTGAGAATTTACTATTGGTAAAACAGCTCTCGGGCAGGATACAAAGAAATGTAATAGTTGTTCTGGGCCCTCAAAGACTTTGTAATCTTCTTGGGGAGTCAAAATATATACACAAAACCTTAAGTAAAAACATAAGAGTTATCAGAAGCGGAATGTGATTGAATGCCAAATAAATGGCATAGATGATAAGTGTTTAAACTTCCTGTTTCCTTCCTATCATCACTGCTGCTTCTTAGAATTGTGGTGTTAGGGAGTGGAATGAGCTGAAATCAGCTTCCCATTTGTCAGAGCCTCCCCAACCTCTGACAGCCAGGGTAATGGAGCCAGTGGAATAAACACCCCTTCATAGTTTGGGACTGGCTCCAAGAGAGTGTTCCCATAGCATAGCATCCACAGACCTTGGCCACATGTTTTCATCACAACTCCTCTTCCTACATGCTTAACTGTTGGGTGACAAAAAATATGGACTTCCTACTCTTCAGGAACGTGGACAGGATAATTCTCCTGACACTATTCCCGAAGGGATGGCACAGAAAGGAATGGTCATAGAAATGCTTGTGAAGTGGATTTACAAGGAGGATAAGTGATCTAGGTGCAACATTGCAATATTTATTTAGAACAATGGGTGAAAAGATTTTTCATTATCAGTTACTGATGGTGATAAAAAGGAACTTTTAACCTATATCATTGAGTTTTATCATAAGAAGTTTCAGCTTTACCATGACAATATAAAGTTCAGCACAACTTTTTCCTCTCTTTCCTTTCAATATGTCCTTTTTCAATAATTAAGGTAAGCTTCCTCCTTTCTCTTATCATGATTAGTAGAAGTAATTCTTAGCCATTTCTCCCTTAACTGGGGCACTTTTATTTCTAGATGTCTCTTTATATTGTACCCTTCCTCCTGCCTATGAATTATCATTTATTATCTCTCTAACTCCTAAGGGAAAGAAGAGGCTCATAGATTTCTTGTAATTGTTTTCAAATTTTTCCGTGATGTTTTGGTAATGTTCACTGACATAATGATGGTGAGATTCATCTGAGATAATGTATGTAGAGCGTTTTCAAATAAACTTTAAAGTTTTGTGTAAATATCAGTTATTATTTATGCCATTGTTAAGATATACCATATTTTTAAAAAATGTATCAAGGGATGCTTTCATTTAATACTTTTATTTCTTTCCATACTACAGAACAGCCCAATTCACTCCACAGCTCCCAGGAACTCAGGACTGGTTGTATCGATGAGTCCTTGTTTGCTCCCTACCCTGAGAACCAACCAGTGGAGAGTGAGGCCTCTCCTGAGGTACCCAGCCTACAAAGCAAGCTACAGGAAGAAGCAAACTACCATCTCTTTGGCAGCCGGATGGATAAGCTGACAAGTAGTCAGTCTAGATCTGTTGCAGCTAAAAGAGAAGAAGAAAGGAGACGAAGAGTCTCCTATGACCCTTTCACAGCAGGGTCTGCTCAGCCTCAGAAGCATGGGTTTTATCAGAATATTTTCATTTCTGGGAGGGGCTCTTATCCTCCCAATGCAAACAATCACAGCAATCTATTACAGCAACCAGTAGAGTCATCTACCCCTCTACAAGTACCACCGTTGAATAACCATCAAGTCTTTGTACCGAGGTCAACATATCCAAAAACAAACAATATCTATGGACTAAATCTAAGCACTGTATCCACCCCCTTTAAAATATCTGTGCCTGAGTCTACCACAGGAGCAAACATGTCAACTCTCCCATTCAGTACAATAGGTAATCAATCTACCTTTTTGATTTGGACTCTTTTATCTGTTTCTTTCCTATATCTAGTAGTTTCCTGAAAGTAAAGTTGACACTGATTCTATTGTGGCTAATATGCACATGGGGTAGCAGTTGTCTTTTTAACATTTGGCAAATGCCAAGTGTATGGAATCCTGAACTGATTACTTAGGGTGAGGAAAATTGGATTTTGGTCCAAGAAACATTTGTTAAGCAAGGGCTCTTAATCTAGGGTCCCTTAACTTATTTGCTTTTTAAAATATATTTTAATAACTGTATTTCAATATAGGGCATCTAGGCACAGTGGATAGAGTACCCAGCCTGAAGTCAAGAAGAATCATCTTCCTGAGTTCAAATCTGACCTCATACACTTAATTAGCTGTATGACCCTGAGCAAATCACTTAATCCTGTTTGTCTCACTTCCTCACCTGTAAAATGAACTGGAGAAGGAAATAGCAAACCATTCCAGTATCTTTGCCAAGAAAACTCCAAATGGGGTCACAAAGAGTCAAATAGGACTAAAAATAACTGAACAATAGCAATAACAGTAATTTCAATGTAACTAGTTTCCTTTGTAATTCTATGTATTTTATTTTGTACATTTAATAGAATTATTCTGTTAAGAGGTCCATAGGCTCTACTGGACTGCCAAAGGGATCCATAACACATAAAAAAGGTTAAGAACCCCTACTTTATTTTTTTTTCTGTTTTTCTCTTTTTTTTTCTCCCCAATTTTTAACTTTTTTTTTTTGACTAGCCAATGGGGTTAAGTGACTTGCCCAGGGTCACACAGCTAGCAAGTGTCAACTGTCAAAGGCTGGATTTGAACTCAGGTATTCCTGACTCCAGGGCTGGTGCTCTATCTACTGCACCACCTAGATGCCCCCAATTTTTAAACATTTTTATTTAAAGTGTTGGGTTCCAAATTCTATCCCCTCTTCCCTCCCTCCCTGAGATGATAAACATTCAGGTATAGATTATACACATGCAATTATGTAAAACATTTCCACATTAGTCATCTTGTACAAGAAAACTAGAATAAAGAAAAAAATGAAAGAAAGTAAAAAATAGCATGCTTCAGTCTATATTCAATAAATATCAGTTTTTCCTCTGAAGGCAGATAGTATGCTTCATCATTGGTCCTTTCGGATCATCTTGGATCGTTGCATTGCTGAGAATAGCTAAATCATTCACAGTTCTTTATTGAACAATATTGCCGTTACTGTGTACAACATTCTCCTGGTTCTGTTCACTTCACTATGCATCAGTTCATATAAGTCCTCCCAAGTTTTTTCTGAAATCATCCTGGTCATTTCTTTTAACACAATAGTATTCCATTACAATCATATACCACAGCTTGTTTAGCCATTCCCCAATTGATGGGCATCCCTTCGATTTCCAATTCTTAGCTACCACAAAAAGAGCTGCTATTAAATATTATTGTACAAATAGGTCCCTTTCCTCCTTTTTTACGTCTCTGGTATATAGACCTAGCAGTGGTATTGCTGGATCAAAGGGTATGCACAATTTTATAGCCCTTTGGAAAGAGTTCCAAGTTGTTCTCCAGAAAGACTGGATCGGTAGAACCCCTACTTTAGAAAATTCAAGATTTTCCCACTTTACTGAAGGTGAGGATAAGAGTTAATTTTTTTTTTTTTTATCATTATACAGGTCAAGAAAAAGGCATGGAATCCATGATAAAGAATTTCTCTTTTGTTCCTTCGTTTCCGGTATCTACAACAGGCCTAGGTAACAATTATAGAGCTGACAACAGATCCTGACTATCTTCAGAAGTGATTTGGTTCTAATGTAATATTCATTTTTCATCAAATATTTGCCAGTATTTCCTTAGAAATTTTGATGGCTTCCATTAAGTGGCGCCCAATTGTACCTCTCATATTCCACCTCCTGTAATCTTTGAAAGAACAACATGAACATTAATTTGTACATCTCAGAACCTTTGTACTTAGAACCATTTCCTCAGAGCTGCAATTAAGTATTTTGTACTTTTAAATAGCAGCAGTAAGGGGGTTTAAAACAGAGTCATGTAGAAAAGACATTAACAATTGCAAACAACTCTATAAGATAAAAAGTTTCAATCAGAGCTCTATCACAGTGGACTCCAAGTTCTAATTTGCATATGTGCTAAAGTGTGTGGTATTCTGAGTGCTTTTTTTTTTTGATAAGACATTGCCTAAGAGTTTATTTGCTATACAATTCTCTGAATCATGCCAAGTTACAGAGATTTTGAAACAGTATCTATTTTATAATCAACTTGGCCTATTGGAAACAATTTTCCATCCTGCTTTCAAACTCAAACATTTCTTTTTCTTTGTCTTTAATACTTTGCCATCCTTAAAAGTGGTTTCTAACAATTTTATTTTATTTTGCTTAGGCAGTTGGGGTTAAATGACTTGCCCAAGGTCACACAGCTAATAAGTGTCAAGTGTTTGGTCTGAGGCTGCAGGGCTGGTACTCTATTCACTGCACCACCTAGCTGCCCCCGATATAACAATTTTAAAAGCAGCCCCATAAAGATATTTTGGTTTCTAAGAGGGTTGTAGAAATTTAAGAAGATAGCTTCCTTCCGGTTTTTTTTATTTGTAAATGACAGGAGTGGAAGACTTCCTATATTTCAGCTTTTTCAAAATGCCTAGTCAATATAAAGAGAATTTGTCATAGCTGATGTTCTAAAGAGACAGTACAACAAAATGTACTTTGAAGAATAATCCTATTGGACTGTCCTTATTACTTTCAATCAGGACACCAAGGATAAATGTTGATAATCACTAGATGCTCACTCAAATTCACAGGGTAAGCATGCCGATTATTACCTAAAGCTAAGTTTTTACTGACTTTTTCAAACTTTTACCTTACTATTTCTACATCTGTTTTAAGAATGATATGATTAGTAAGGTGATGATGGTAAAGGAAACTTAACTGCTCAGAAATTGGGCTGAGAAACTTGGCTACAGGGTATTTGTAGAGAGTTTTGGGAGAGTTATACAGAATGAGAAATTGATTTAACTAGTCTTAACATTTTCCCATGTTGTGCTTTTCCGCTTACTTTAAAATTATACTCATTTCACTATGTTCATTTTCCCCTCCCTCCTCACCTCCCCAATCTTGGTAAATTTTTAGAAGACTCAATAAAATGCAAGTTCGTCAACAGTACTGGCATTCAGATTGGAAACAACAATTACATGGTGTTGGATGACAGAAGTCTGCCTGTTGAAAACACATCTACAAATATTCAACAAGAGCCAGAATCCAAATATCTACATATATTTGGTAATAACTCTTTGAAGAAATCTTTTCCCAATTACTTATGTTTTTTTTTTCTCTTTCAAGAGGGATGGAATTCTAATACTCACCTTCTTTTCCTCTCCCCTTTCTTCTGCCTACCCAACAATTTAGTATCCTTAAGCCTAAGTTCTTAAAAAACTGGACCTTCACCAAGTAGTATCCAGACCATAGAATAATCCCCAAACTAACCTGATGTTCTAGGTGTTTGGTTTTGTTTTTTTTTTAACTCAAGTAGGTTTGCAGAGGACTTCTTCAGACATCTGCTCAGATTCAGACCAGCTTCTAGGAATACAGAAATAGGGTGCTGGTTGACTTATAGCATTAGGTGCTTTGACATTCAAAACGCTATTTTTTGGCTCATCACAGATTGTATGAAGTTGACAAAAGTCAATCAGTCAACAAGTATTTATTAAGCACTTAACATATATGTGACAGGCACTGTGCTAAGTACTGGGAACACTAGTAGAAAGATTATCCCTGCCCTCAAGGAATTTATATTCTAACGGGGGAAGATGGACAGGCAGATAAAGGTTCCTGGGCATTGGTAAAGGAAATCTAGAGTGCAGCCTGGAGAGGAATGAGACTGGCCTGGCTCCCTAAATAGAAGTTCAGGGAGGAGTCATCCAGTCAGAGGATATGATCAATGTATGAATTCCATGGCCAGAGGAAGCTTCCAGATGAAGAGATGAGACATTGTAGTCAGAATGCTCCCTAGAGGGGAATGAGATATGACTGGCCTAGGCACCCTCTTTAAATAGAGATTCTAAAAAGGAAACAGAACAAGTTCTGGACCTGGATTCATTACAAAAAAAAAAAAAGACTATCCAAAAGAGATCCCAAGGGATTATTAGAAGCCTTATAGTATTCATACCCTTGAGAGGGGCCATTTTCTGGCTCAGTAAGAATTAAGAGAGATGGGAGGAAAAAAGGGGAAGAGTAGTGGCAGATAGTTACTCACTGCTTAGTGGGAGGAAATGACAGAATAGACAGTTCAAAATGAAACTGGGGGACTTGGGGAAGTGAGAGCCAAAGGAAAGAAAGAATAAGGAAATACACAAACTACATGGGATGGGAAGGGAAGAGGAGTTGTTGATAAGGAAAAAAACAAGACCAAAGGGAAAAAAATTAGAAGTAAGGATACATTTGTGGCCATAGGCCTCCAGGAACATATTGTGCCTTACGGAATATTTAGCAGTTTATTAGTTACAAAGAACTTAACTTTTTACAAATGGATTTTCTAATTAGTCCTCAAAACATCTTTTAGGGCAACATTATTGTCTTCATCTCTATCTTTCATCTCCTAAAGAAAATGAATCCCTAGAGCTTAAAAGACTTGGGGCTGGATTCTTTCTTGCCATATGGTGATGGTAGGCTGGTAATAAATATAATGAAATATCCAGCATAGTATTTTAAAATTTAAAAATGCCTGTTCATTGCCCTGAATGCATCACTAAAGTGGGTATGGCCCTAGTAAATGTGTCCATGAGGGGATTCTTCTGCCATGATAACTGACTCCAGAGCTGGAACTAGGGGAAGGAGAGGTAGGCAGGCATTTAGAGCACAACATTACAAGGGGCAAGGAGAGGGAAGAATAAGGGATACTTTTTCTCATTCCTTTTTCTAAATGCATATGTTGCTAATGTCAGTTCTACTTTCTATGGAACGTATTTATTTTGTGGATTCAGGTCAGGTATGTTAGAGTGAAGGCTCAAAGACTCTGTAGTATCATCATATACAGGCATACCTCAGAGATATTGCGTGTTCAGTTCCAGATCATTGCAATAAAGCAAATATCTCAAAAAAGCAAGTTAGAAGAATTTTTTGTTTCCCAGTACATATAAAAGTTATATTTCATTCTTCTGTTGTCTGTTCTATTCTGTAGTACAATGGTATTATATCTAAAAAAACAAACCAATGTACATACCTTAATTAAAAAATACTTTACTGCTAAAAAATCTGAACTTTTTGTGAGTGATAATCTTTTTGCTAGGGGAGCATCCTGCCTCATTGTTGGTGTCTGCTGACTCATCAGAGTGGTGGCTGCTGAAGATTGCCATGGCAGTTTCTTAAAATATGACAACACTGACATTTGCTCCATCGATTGACTCTTCCTTTCCCTTGAACACTTCAAGGCCATTGTAGGTTTATTAGTTGGCCTAATTTCAATATTGTTTCGGTTCAGGGAATAGGGAAGCCTGAGGAGAGGGAGACAGGAACAGCCGGTCAGTGGAACAGTCAGAATACACACAACATTTATCAATTAAGTTTCTGATTTGTGGTGCCCCAAAACTACTGCAATAGTAACATCAAGGACCACTAGACATAATAAAGAAAAAATTTGAAATATTGCAAGAATTATCAAAGTATGACACAAAGACATGATGTGAGCACATGTAAAAATGGCATCGAAACATTTGCTTGATTCAGGATTGCCACAAACCTTCATATCTGTGAAACGCAATAAACAAAGCATGCCTGTATAGGAAGTAGGGATTTTTAACCTTATCTAGGGCACACAGATGTCTTTTCCTAACTTTGGTTGACTCTACTATGCATCTTTTGAATAAGAGAGTGGCCAAGCTAGGAATAAAGAGGTAAAGAATGAACGACAGTAAGGGTTAAGGCCTGTCAGATCCAGTCAGGCAGACAAGAAAAAGTCAGGAAGTCAAATCAAGTCAGCCAGCATTTTGAAACACCTACTCTGTGCTAGGTGCTGTGGGGAGACAAAGAAAGGCAAAAAACAGTCCTTCCTCTCGAGGAGCTCCCAGTCTAATTGGGAGAGACAAAATGCAAACAACCATATACAAACAAGATATGTACAGGATAGCTTGAAGAAAAGTAAAAGCATTTTTCTTCCTCTCTATATCCAGGAGAGGGTACATTTCAAGAATCTTTCTTGGATCAAAGGGAGATTTTGGAAATAAAATGCATTTCCTTTCTCCCTTCTGACATAAAACTCTATACCCTTAGCACACTTAGCATCATAAAATGCCAAATTTAAACTGTAAGGGACTTCAGAGATCAACTGTCCAGCTCCCTCCCTTGACCCAAGCATGATTATCAATTTTAGGAGGCATAGGAATTTGTTTTTTGGAATATTATACCTAGGTGCTTTTCTTTTTCCTTTGATAGAAGATACCACTAGCCTGCTTGATAAACATCTGGATCCAGTAAGAGATAATCTTGGAAAGATTTGGAAAATATGTGCCCGGAGGTTGGGCTTCACTGAATCCCAGATTGATGAAATCGACCATGATTATGATCGAGATGGACTGAAAGAAAAAGTTTACCAGATGATCCAGAAGTGGCTGATGAGGGAAGGCAACAAGGGTGCCACTGTTGGAAAGCTAGCCAGAGCCCTCTATGACTGCCAGAGAATAGACCTTCTCAATACTTTGATATCTGTAAGCCAAGATTAGCCTGATGGGGGTAAATGGAAAGAAATGTATCTAAATGCCCTTTTCATCTGTGCAACTCATTGTGAAGTATGCCGTCTGAACTACATCTCTTCGAGATCCAAGTCCTTTACCTGTCCAACTGCATTCAGGATGTTCAGAGACAGCCATTACTGCTGAGTCAGTCAGACTGATCCCATCTTTCTACCTTGCCTGTTCTTTGGGGTAGGTGCCAGCCAGCTTGCAGGAAGGGGCAGCCTACATGTGCAATAATGCCAACTCCTTAGCACTACTTTCATCTTCCTATGATGCTGTAATAGGAGAGGAGATGAGGTGGCACTTCCAGGGGTGGGGAACCTGTGGCCTTCAGGCCACCCTTGAGGACCTAGAGGGCCACATGTAGCCTCAAGGTCACAGGTTCCCCACCCCTGCACTAATTCCATCTCGTGCGTACCATGTATTGGTGCAAATATGTACCATACAAGATTGTCTTTCCCTTATATGGAAGTTTTTTACTTCTGTCTATAAAAGTACTGGGCAGTTTGAATTCAGGCCTACCCAATGCTCCTGCCTTGGTGTGCTACAATAAACTCCTTTTGTCTTATTTCCTGAGTTTGTCCTCTCAATCATGGTGTGGCCCGAAGGGAGATTTCCTTTAACAATTGTCTCTAGTTATTTGACATACATAGAAAGGAAAAAAGGAGAGTCTACCTTCTGGAAAGAACATGCATAAATTTCTTAGAATCAACCAATAAGAAAAAGGCTGAAGTTTTTTTTTTGTTGTTGTTGTTGTTGAAGGTGAAGTTAAGAATAATAAAAGTTTATTTAGGGGAAAAAGAGGATTTGGAGAGTAGTAAATGGCTTTACAACTATTCACAAAACTTGTGTTCAAATATGTCATTTACTAAAAGCTTAGTGTTTTGCTCAAGTAAGTATAGCAATATGACTGAAGAAGTCTGGATAATATAAACCAAACTTTTAGTTTTGTGCTCTCCTCATCTCCATACTTTTTTCACAAGTAGAGTGTAGTTTAGAAAAGAAAAAAAAAAAGGCAAGGTCTGAGTTTTCTACTATGCAGCATGACCTGATGTAAACATAAACATCTGGTGAAAATGTTTCCAGGGAAGGTAGGGTAACTCCACGATCGACTGCAAGTTTCAAAGCTCCATTATGCTATTACCCAGTGAGACTGGGAACAGAGTAGAATTGCAGGGAGTCCTGCTTATGGATTTCATTGAATTCATCTCCGAATGCAGACCAGCAACCAACCTGGAATTTATCATCTGAAAGAGTTGCCTGGAGTATTGACAGGGAAAATAACTTGTGCAGAGTTATGTGTGTCAGAAACAGGATTTGAATACAGGAGTCCAAGGCTGTCTTCTAACCACTACACCATACTCCTTGTCATGATATAAATGTTTGTTACTATTGAAATGAGACTGAAGAATTCTGTAATAATAAATGTCATACCAACTTTTCATGCTGTTATGTCAAAATTAGTAATGATGACTGTAAAACATTTTATAACTATCAAGTTTTACATATTTTAATACTTTTAAATTTTTTCCTTTTTGATTAAAAAAAAGTTTCTTTTCCCATAGATTTCTTCCTGCCATTTAGCAGCTATCATAAACTTATACAACTTTAGAAAAAGAAGGAACTTGAGACATCACCTAGTCCAATCTCTTCATTTTACAGATAGGGAAATTAAGGTCCATTTTCTCAAAATTTCAGGACTTGTAGTGGGAGAATTGGGAATTTAGCCCCGGTCTTCTGGTACTCAATTTAGTTTTTTTTCTATTATACCATGCTGCCTGCTGACATTCACCTTCTACTTTTAAGAGTTCACATTGAAATCTCAGGTTAAAATGAAGAAATCTGAATATGTCCAACCACCTAAAAAAAGGTACAATATCAGTCCTGAGAGTGAGCACAAAGAGGTGAGCAAAAAAAATTAAACAGGAATGACAATTAGTCAGCAAGTACTGGAAAAGTTACCCAATACAAGTATACAAAATCACAAATCTAGAACTGGAAGGAACCTAAGAAGTCACCCAGTCAAACTCCCTCATTTTACAAATCAGGAATCAGGGAAGTTAAGGAACTGCCCAAGGTCACACAGGCAGCAAGCATAAGAGGTGGAATTTGAACCCAGGTACTCTGACTCCTGAGTCCTGCTCCAGAGCCTTCGCTCTATCCTACAGGGACTTAAATTTTTGATTGAATACTCCCCTAAGGCTCCTGATTGTGAACAAAATCTTCAGAGATGGGAATACAATTTAATAGAATTTTAAACTTTTGTCAAAAGAAATATTCTTTAAATATCAGTCTTTAAAAGTAGTTAGGTTTGTGTTTGGATAAATGAGACAATGGTATTGATTCTGTTACAGACTTTGAGGGCTCTTGTTATTTCATACAACCACCAGGGACAGAGAGGGATAGAATGACCCTTTAGAGAGTGAAGAAGAAGCTGTCAGAAACCCACATACTCTCCCACCCTTTTGATTAAAACTCGTATCTAAGTGGGTGGAGGCTAAGTGCCAGCTGAACAACAAGATATCTAAGAAGTCCTCAGCTGTTGTTCAGTGCTGTCCAACTCTTCCTGAGCCCATTAGGAAGTTTCCTGGCAAAGATACTGGAGTGGTTTGCCATTTGCTTCTCCAGCTCATTGTATAGTTGAGGAAACTGAGGCAAACAGGGTTAAGTGACCTGCCCAGGGTCACACAGCTAGTAAGTGTCTGAGATTCAGACTCAGGAAGATGAGTCTTCCTGACTCTAGGCTGGGCCCCTTTTCACCACTGAGCTGCCCAGTTCCCCAGTACGTCCACATTTTAGATACTATTTAGATACCAGTATTCCCTCTAGCACTGGCTACCCAAACTATTGTAGGAGTTAAATTCACTTTCTAGACATTTTAAATTTTAGACAGGAATAGATACCACAATGTCATGGCACTTGCTTGGCAGCTACACCGATTGAAAAAGGTTCAACATATATGGTGGGAAAGGTAAAAGAAAACCATTGTTACTTGGATCAAATTGAAGACCTTAAAACCCTGATCACCTTAACTTAAAAGAGGATTCCTTTAACCAGGATCTACCACTAGATCTAGAAACCTTATCTGGTAGGGTTCCATACATACTGGTTACTACCACCTACCTCTACCACAACCTGCCCTCCCTCAACCAAGATTTGCCAGTGTGTCCAGGATTATAGTATTCAGTAACATCCAACCTCCAATCTACTCAGGAACTTTCCTGACAACTATTCTCTTCCATTCTTCCTCATCTGCCTCCCACAAGGCCAGTGATCTCAAGGAAATGAAAAAGTAGTTCATTTTCTTTCTTTTTTTTTTTAAGACAATTGGGGTTAAGTGACTTGTGCCCAGGGTCACACAGCTAGTAAGTGTGTGAAGCCGGATTTGAACGCACGTCCTCCTGACTTCAGGGCCGGTGCTCTATCCACTGCACCACCTAGCTGCCCCAAAGTAATTTACTTTCACTAAAGATTGGGGAACCCGGACCTAAAAAATGATAAAGATGCTGTGCATAGTTACTTTTTTAAAACATCAGTAGCACAAGAGCAAGTCAGAATTAGCATCAGTGATTGAAATGTCAGGAAGGCAATGTCATTGGACCACGGGGCTGTGGGTTTCCTTTGACACAGCTGTCTGGCTAAGGTAGCTGTGAGAACTGCTGATGATTTTTCCCCTGGGACAGAATTCTGGCCAAATCACAAGCACATTCCAACATACACATACATATATGCTTCATCCCCTCAAAAGGGAACAACAAATTATAAAATGGATTAAATTAACTATATTTTTTCTTGCTCATTTTGGAACTGTCATATTCCCAGGAGAAAAGTTAAACAAATGTTCATAAAAGTAAAACACTATTGATAAAACAATAACAAGTCACAATTATTAGTGCTTTAAGGTTGCAAAGTACTTGGCATATATTGTATCATGATGTAGTTAATATTGTGAATTAGCTGATACTAGTGTTAATGTCCCCAAAATACAGATGTATTGTTTCTGAAGGTCCATTTATAAAAATGGTAAAAAACAAGAGTGAGCTTGGTGCCACAGGGGCACTCTTCCTCTGTATATATCCAGAGTGCGTTAAAGAAGAAGGAGAGGACAATAAGCAGATTAGTAAATACAGAGTACAGGAAGGTCAAAATATTAGACATGTATTAGGTACATACTATATGTCAGAACATAAATGAAACAGTTCCTGCCCTCAAGGAACTTACAGTCAAGTGTGAATTATTTGGGACAAGCAATCATTTTTAGATGATTTCATTTTGTGCTGGCAATGGTCATGCCTATATGCTTCTACCAAGATCAGGCTAATTCAGAAAGGCTGACCATAACCAGTTGAAACTAAACTGAGCCGGTTTTCCCACCTTTAGCTGGTCCTCTGTCATTTTGTACTCAATTTTTTTTTTTTTTTTTAGGTTAGGCAATTGGGGTTGAGTGACTTGCCCAGAGTCACACAGCTTGTGTGCCTTATGTATCTGATGCCTGATATGAACTCAGGTCCCCCTGGCTTGAGGGCCGGTGCTCTATCCACTGTGCCATCTAGCTGCCCCCAGTCCTATGCCATTTTGAAGCTAGATTTTATGCCATAGACAAACTGTTCTATTTTTCTGTTTTTAAATGTGATTTTAAAGAAAGGGTATTAATTAAAGGAAACATGGAAAAGTTATAGTTCCTAAAAAATACACTGCAGTGATAGAAGAGATATTGCAGCAGCTGCTGGTATGGGGAAGTGAAGCATTTCCATGATTATTTAAATCCATAATGAAATGGGATTAGTTGTACTAAAGTGCAAAGTAAAGTGTGGTCAAAAATTAAAAATGATAATAGAAACTGATAAACTCTTGCTACCAAACAGCCTAATTAGCCATCAGAAAACAATAAAGACTGAAAGCACTGTTATTAATTCCTCCACAGTGAAACATGGACTTCTTGAAGCTGAAAGAATAGCTATAAGAACAGTAAAAATAACCTCTAATCATGGCTAGAGAAAAAAAAGTATGCTTGTCATGGCCAAGACAAAACAAAGATGAAAATACCAGAGATGGGAAAAGGGAAATTTTTAGTGAAGAAACTCACTGTTTTCATTGAAGGCTACACCAAAAACATTGTCAGAAACAGTCCAGATGAACCAACAAGATACTGGCATCTTCATCAGATTATAAAACATCACCTCAAAAATATTTGGGGAATTTTTTGCTTCTAGAATCTGGAAAACTTGTCTCGAAGAAATGATGAAATAAATATATTGATATGCTGAGCAAAATTATTCCAAAATTAGAGAAGTTCCCAAATTAAATACTACCACATGGCCTTCCACCATGCTATATGTTATGAAAGATTAAGATATTTATTTAAGAGATAGAGATAAATATTCTTCAAAGGCCTGGGAATTCACCTTTCTGAAATCCCACTGAAAATCACTTGTGCTAAATGTGGGAATATGGTTTTTTTAGATTATTCCTAGTTGTGAGATGATGATTTTTGTCTTAATTGTTCAATTAAGAGGACAGTAAGAGAGATAATTTTTAAAAAGAAAACTAAAGCACTACAAAAATGTAAAAAAGTACAAAGAGATCAAACAAGATAATGCATATAAAGCATTTTTTTTTTTAAAAAAAGTGAATGGGAATGAATGGATAAATAACAAAAAAACATGCATAAATCCATTAGTAAAACTTGGAAGGATTGAAAATTTGTTATGACATTTTATAAGTAGAAATTCATATATTTAAATGTCAATAGTTGCAAAGTAAGTTCAACTTGTATTGATGTTTAATGTTGTTCAAAAGAAATTGTTTCAAAAACAAAAACCAAGCAAACAAACAGGCAAACAAAAAAACCTATGGGCTCTTTGGGAATGTACCTAACAAGATACATATAGTAACTATATTACTGCAATTACAAAATAATTTATAAAGTAAGAAACCGGCACATGCACAGAATACATCAGCATGCTCTACTGATGCAATTTTACCATGCAAGAGAGCCTGGAAAACCTGCTTTAGCTCGAGATGTGGTGATGGATAATGGAAAATCCTTGGAGAGACCTGAGCATGAGTAGACATTGTTTCTAGCACCAATTTGCTAACCACATTGTGAGAAGAAATCTTTTGGGTTGGTTGGGTAGCTTGAACAGGTATGGGATTTGAGGGGAGGGAAGCTTTAAAAAAGAATTAGAGGCCAGAGAGACTCAGTCATTCTGTTTGGCTGCCCTGCTCTTGGTTTAACAGGGGTGGAAAACCTGTGGCCTCCAGGCCACATGGGGCCCTCTAGGTCCTCAAATACAGCCCTTTGACTGAATTCAAACTTCACAGAACAAATCCCCTTAATAAAAGGATTTTTTTTTTTTTGGCTGGGCAATGGGGTTAAGTGATTTTGCCCAGGGTCACACAATAAAAGGATTTGTTCTGTAAAACTTGGACTCAGTCAAAA